GTTGTTGTTGTTGTTGTTGTTGTTGTTGTTGTTGTTTTCTGTTCCGTCTGGCAGAATGTTGGTGTCTTCTGGAGTCCCTTATGGGGCTATGCCATTCGTGTTGCTGTTGTTATTGCAGACTCCACTTCCCATAATTCTTCCCAGGCAGAATTCTGGGAGTTCCAGCCCGTAGACCCATCCCTACAGACACCTGCATTTTGCTCACCTGGAGATGGGCCTAGATCTCGGGCTGTGAGGCCAAGTTCCAGTCTCGCTCCCTGTGGTTAATGTACCAGGAAGGAAGCTGCCGCAATGCTTCCTGGGAGTGGTAGTCTCACTGCCCTTTAGGCTCTATAAAGGGTGCCTCTTAAAGAACTACTGGTGTGTGTGTGTCTCTGTGTGTGTGTTTTAAGTCCCCAGATCCTTTGTTTATCACACTACCTTTCCTTACAGCCGCACCAAGTAGACATGATCTAGAGGGGCGGGGTAAAAATCAAATAAATAAATAAATAAAATAAATTACAGCGATATCTTTTTTCCTCTTTAAGTGTCAGAAAGAATTAGCATTTTTAGACTCTGGAGAGACTTAGTCTTTCCTTGTTCCCCACATATCCCTGGCTCACAGGATTAAAGAGAAGTATTTTGCAATACTGCCATATTGGTGATGACTAATAGATTATCTTATTCATCTGGAGAAATGAATATTACTTTTAAAAAAATCAGAAAACCATCTCATGAACAAAATCCAACAGTGAAACACTGCGATGAGGAGAAAAAGGAGAGTGTGAGGTTGTTTTTGTCTTCTGTCCTATAGATCCTATATTTTTGATTTTTTGGAGAATCACAGTAATAAATGCAGGGTGAGGGGTCTTCATGCTATGACATGACAGTCTAAGGGAAAGATCAGCAACACAAGCCATTACAACGGTGAATTGAATCTTAGGAGTACCAATAGCTGATAGTTATACCTGGTACAGGAATCTATATTTAGTCGGCATTTATTTGTCTAGCCCACCTTTTTCTCAAAACTGGGACTTAAGGCAGCTTGGAATGAGATGAAAGAAAAGGGTGTTAATAAAAACAGAAAGTGTTGTGGTCCTAAAACACAAGCAAACAAACTGGCTGAAATCCTATGAACCCACTTACCTTATACAATTTGCTTAAATCCTTGCAGGGAATGGCTGCAAGTCAAGAAGCCAGCACAGGCATTTCCTGTGGTGTACCAAGTCACATAACTTGGAATGCAACAGCAAATGCCTACCCTGACTGTTGCAAAAAATATATTGTTACACAGTAGAAGTACAGAGATCCATAGGAGAGAATAGCTACACATTTCCCAGAGTCCTCACCCTTTTCTCATTAACTGGCAATTAAAGTCTCACTAACTCATTCTGAAACATTTGGAGGAGAAAGGATAAATAAAACATTTCTTTGTTTATAGTTGCTTGAAATCACAGGGTTAGGCGTGCTGCTTTCTCTGCTGCACTTGTACTTGGCAGCCAGCTGAACAGATCAACAGCATACAAACAACTGCCACTAACTGATGAAAAAGAGAGAGAGCCCTCAGCAGAGAGGGAGGGCTCTCTTTGAATCCAAGGGCTGGAAGAAATGATGTGTTAGTGCTGGACAGTTAGACAATCACCCTAGCTCTGAAAAGTTCCTCGCAGTCACATAAGCTACAGACAGCTTGCAAGGTTGCAAATAAAACTTCAGCCTTGATTTGTCTCGATTCACTACCGAGATTTACACCAGCACTGTTATCCTGGTGCAAAAAGGCAACCGGATTTTCTGGTCGCCGTATTCTGATAACCCACAGGGATGAAAAGTACGTAATTTGAAAGCACATCAATTCTGTTTAAAAGTGCAGAAGGCCCACCTGTTAAGAGCTTCCTCCTCAGCGGGATGCCCATTGCCAAAAGCTTGCTTGAATTAAAAGGTTCTTGCCTGGAGGGAGAAGAGCAGCTCATTCTTGTGTTGGAAGCATATTCCTTAGCTTGGAAATTGAGTGAAGAAATCCCTGTATGTACACAGTCCCTTTTAAGCCTTACAGCTACTGTGGGATGGAATCGCTCCTGCCAACCTGAATCTCTCTGAAACCTTGCTATATCTGTCTCTCCATAAAGCACTGGCTTTATTTATTTATTTTTGAAATGGTCTTCTTCCTTCTTTCACAGGTCCCTGATCTCTTGAGAAGAAGCTGTTGAGATTCCTGCTTTTTGGTAAGTCTCATAAAATCTCTCCTTCTCTTTGCAATGGATTGAGGTTTTGCTTCTGTTTTACCCCTCAAAGCTTCTCTGCAAGTAAATGAACCCAAACCTCGTGATAGCTGTAAACTCAGTCTGCAAAACCAGGGCCACATATCGTGTCCTGCGAGGCAGGGGTATAAAGATCCTCCATCTAGCAGGACTGAAAATCCCTTCCTGAGTGGAGTCAGAGGAGGGCTTTCCTTTATTTATTTATTTTTCTCCTGGCAGGCCACAAGGACGGGCTACCTCTGGCTGGATGCCAGTTGCAAAAGGATTTTATCTATACTAGATAGATGCAGCCATTGAATACCGCCTGAACTGCCATGGATCTGCCCCATGGAATTCTGGGACTTGTAGTTCCAGGAACATTCTCTGTTAGAGTACTTTAGCGCACTGCTCTAAACTACAGCGATTGAACTCTCTAGCATATAGGGTTTTCGCCACTGAGTGATGTCCTATGTTGGAAATAGTAGCAGCCTCAGTCTGAGTTTTAGTGCATGCCGGCAGCTGAGAAATGTAGGAGCAAAGAGGTGTCTCTGTCCAATTATACAGTCGTGATGCAGCTCGTGTGAAATTTAGCTCGTATGTAGAACCCGAACACTTCTTCCCCACCCACCACCACCAGGTTGATTTCTTCATGTGGCATTCAGAAACCTTTCCAAACGTTGCAGATAATTTACATCCGTGGGACTGGGTCTTTCACACCCTGCTGAACTCTTGAGAAATACTGAGTGGGTAACTCCGTCGAGTTGCTGGCATTTTTTTTCTGCGAGAGAGAAAAGAAGGGAGTTGTTGTCTTTTAAGATCCGTGACGGAGGCTTTTGATTCTCAACATCCGCCCACGCGCTCTCACCCATCTCGAAAGATCAGAAGGCAGCCTTCTGTACCGAGCAGGGAGCTGGGCTGGAACAGAGCAGAAATTTACCCTCCAGGAGATTATGGGAGCATTTGGTTTTTGATAAAGGATGGACAGCACCTTTTGGAAGAAATGCGAAAGGCCAGAGAAGAAAGGTACACGGTTTGGCTTTATCTCATTTTGATGACCTTTGCAGTACCAGGGCAGACTCCCAACAGTAACCTTTGTGTCAACTTCTATGGATTTCTCATTGCTTTATTTACTTCCTCTTTGCTCAGTTTGCAAAGTCTTTGTAAGCCAGTGGGCTACATTTCCCAAGATCTGGGCTACGTTTTTCTGGAAACGAAAGGAAAAGACCCTAAGGTGGATCCAAAAGTAATTACTTCATTTTCTGATAGGTTTCATGAGGATTCAAAAGCACTCCGTACTTTCAGTGATTAAAAACACTTGATTACCATATTTTTCCTGTGTATAAGACCCCTTTTCTAACCCAAAATTAAGAAATCCCACTTTCAGTGATTAAGAACACTTAATTACCATATTTTTCCCGTGTATAAGACGCCCCCCACTTTTCTAACCCAAAATTAAGAAATCTAAGTAGGGCTTAGTCAGTGGAGGGGAAAGCAGGGATCACAACCCTGCAAGATCACTTTGATCCCTGCATTCCCCTCCACTTATTTTTGTTCTCTCCTGAGCTTACTTCTATGTATAGTCCCTCAATTTTTAGTCTAAAGATTTTAGACAAAAGTACAGTCTTATACACGGAAAAATACAGTATGTCTTCTCGAGTTGAATCTAACCTGATAGAGTTACCTAGACACAGAGCACTCCAAAATGGTTCACTCCAACTGAAATAGCTGGGCATACTTAGCCTTGAGAAAAGACACGAGTAAGGATTGGCAAGACAGTGACATTCCATTCCCAGAGATGTTAGGTTCTGCACAGTAAGAATGGTCATCCTAGCATGCTCGACACTTAATAATGGGTTCAAGCTACATGACACCAGATTTTGGTTGAGTATCAGGAAAATCTTCTTAGCTGTTAGAGCAGTGCGACAATGGAACCATTTACCTCGGCAGGTGGAGAGCCTTTCAGTGGTGGAGGAATTCAAGAGAAGGCTTTTTTTGTTCCATATAGCAATGTTTCCCCATAGTGATGGTTAATCTGGAACTGATTAACCTCGCTGTGCGGGGCATCACTGTATAGTCTTATATACGGGAAAATACAATATGTCTTTTCGAGTTTCATCTAACCTGCTAGAGTTACCTGGACACAGAGCACTCCAAAATGGTTCACCATCTCCTCCAATTGAAATAGCTGGGCATACTTAGCCTTGAGAAAAGGACTGCACTTTTTAAATACTTGAAAGGTAGTCCTAGAGAAGAGAGGCAGGATATGTTCTCAGTCATCCTAGTATGCTGGACACTTAATAATGGGTTCAAGCTACAGGCCACCAGATTTTGGTTGAATATCAGGAGAATCTTCTTAGCTGTTAGAGCAGTGCGACAATGGAACCATTTACCTCAGCAGGTGGAGAGCCTTTCAGTGGTGGAGGAAATCAAGAGAAAGTTGGACAACCATCTTATCAGATCTGCTTTGGCTTGGATTCCTGCCTTGGGCAGGGGGTTGGACTCAATGGCCTCCATTTGCCCTATGTTCTTAGGGCGAGTGGAGCAGGAGCAATCGTGGCCAATTATTCCATGATTCTTCTGGAAGCATTCTGGGACTGTGCAGCTTGTCCAAGGCTACTCAGGCTGGCTCTTCTCCACAGTGCAGTATGGAACCCCTGACCTCTGCTGACTGCACTTTTTAAATACTTGAAAGGTAGTCCTAGAGAAGAGAGGCAGGATATGTTCTCAGTCATCCTAGTATGCTGGACACTTAATAATGGGTTCAAGCTACAGGCCACCAGATTTTGGTTGAATATCAGGAGAATCTTCTTAGCTGTTAGAGCAGTGCGACAATGGAACCATTTACCTCAGCAGGTGGAGAGCCTTTCAGTGGTGGAGGAAATCAAGAGAAAGTTGGACAACCATCTTATCAGATCTGCTTTGGCTTGGATTCCTGCCTTGGGCAGGGGGTTGGACTCAATGGCCTCCATTTGCCCTATGTTCATAGGGCAAGTGGAGCAGGAGCAATTGTGGCCAATTATTCCATGATTCTTCTGGAAACATTCTGGGACTGTGCAGCTTGTCCAAGGCTACTCAGGCTGGCTCTTCTCCACAGTGCAGTATGGAACCCCTGACCTCTGCTTCTGCAGCCTTGTCCCAATTCACTACGGTATAGAAAAGTAATTGCACAATTACAGTCTCCTTGTGGTGCTTGGTTCCTTCCCTGCTGCTTCGTTGGTTGTTCTCCATGCCTTTTCTCTGCGCCTTTGCTGGGCCCCATTAGGTCAGTAAATGCTTTGCTTTACTTTAATTTGGTGTGCTAATCCACTCAATTTAGTTGAAGAGCATCTATGTCATAATAGGACCAGCGACATTATACTACAATTCCATCATCAAAATAATGTGCACCATAACAGCCATTGAGGAATCTGAAGGACCAGTTGACTGCTGGTGTCACAAAACGTCTACAAAAAGTATCCTCCACAAATCTATTAATCTATCTGTCTTTGCTTTACACTTATCTCTACATTGATGAAATTCTACCACCAGTATGAACATAGCGGCAGCCACCAGTTTGAACAGTTTTAAAGTCCAGGGTAAATGTACAGCTATTACCTTGAATAATTGATAGAACCTTCATATGCAAAAGAGAGTGGCCCAAATCCTGTTGCACAGCTCGACCTCACTGGCAGCCGCTAATGAAAGAGTCCCCGCTTTGACTTTGGGTTGGGCGGCAACTCACACACAAGGAGACCAAGTTGCCCCCAACCTGAAATCAAAGCAGGGACATTGATTGACAGCAGCAGCCTGCTGGTGGTGATGATGTCATTCCTGCTACACCCACAGAACAATGCAACAGGATACTTGGAAAAGTGGTGGGTGCTTTAGACAACAGCTTCTGTAGTTTGAAGGATTTCAGGCACTATCCTCTAAAAATATCTTCTTGATGCTTTGAGTTCTGATGTACTTCTGAGTATCGACGTGGTGGAGATTAACCACTGGCCTTATTTCTTTTCTGATATTCTTTGCACTCTAGTCATCATCTTGGGCTGGAATGCAGGTCTAGATTGACCTTTAGTCTGATAAAGCCAACACACTTCATTCTTAAGTAATCCTTTAAGCACTTGAAAAGCAGACTAGCAGACTCGTGCCCCATCTACTCTTCAGGAGGTTTTCCCATGTATTTTCAGTATGTAATTAATTTTATTAATGGCATATCAATGTGTGACTTTACATTTCATTTCTATTTTTATCTCACAAAGCCTTACTGAGCAGACAAAGGAAGTGTTGTACTTACCACAGCCTACATGTTTTCACATTGTGCCTCACTCACAGACTTCTCACATTTAACTAAAGCATCATTGTGTGTCCTTTTTAAAAACTGTGCACCTTTCACATCTGTGCATCTTCTCAGAATCTGACAGTGTGGAAATTCTCAGGGCAATCACTGCTTCTTTTCACAGTAAGTCTCGGATGTAAACAGGCTCTTTCTATCAAGACTATAGAAACCAGCTTCATTTTTTTTCAAGACATAAAGGGAAATCACAGGTGTTCTGGGAAAGAAGTTGAGATGGAGCTATAAGGGAAAGATTTGATGTGGTTAAAATCCATAGTTCCATTAGTTGGAACCCAGGTTGCTTGTCTTAAGTGTGGAGTTCAAAATCTGCTGGTAAGAATTTTTATGTGAATGTAGAAAATTACACTACCCAAATCCATACAATGGCTCTGCTAAGGCTAGTCGTTCAACCATTAGGTAGCAAACTTGTCTAAAAGACTAATGGGTGAAAAAGCAATTGGGGTGAATTTTGATGTGAACTCACCAATTTTGTACTGCCCTAATCTGAACCTGAATTTTATAATATTTTTTTTCTACTTGGATGTCTGCCTTTTTCTGAAGCTCGCAATCTAAGTGCACCCACTGTAAAAGAGAGGAGAGGAGAGAGTCACCATTTGTACCAGGGTTTTTCCTGGACCTAAAGATTGGGTTGGTGCAAATAGATGTTGTC